GTTGTATACATAATTCTATTTATTGTTACAACTATTGAACGATTTATTGCATATCGAAAAGATACTCAAAATTTTTTAAATTGAACGAGTTTGATTCACATGTTGGATTTCATTCTGTGTTTAGGTATTTAGTCTATTTGTTCTAATTAAAATTAGGACTCAAAATAAGACCCATGGATTGTCTTAAAAAATTCAATAACAATGTTGCACGAAAAAAAAAAACAAGCAAATCAAACTAGCTCATAAAAATAATCTTTCTCTCAATCTTAAAAAAAAAAAATGTCGCACACCTGTAGAGTTAAGAAACTTCTTGCGAGTTTTGAAGACGAGTGTTTCCCCGTAGGGGATTGGTTGGTACGAGATGACCGGCAAAAGTTTCTTAGAAAAGAAGAATACACTTGGATATGTGATTGTAACTTTCTAGTGGGTTAGTTGAAATTTCCTCTCTCCCCAGTTTCACTATCTCTTTCTCTTTCGTGATTCTATCTAAAGTAACGTGATCAATCATTATCAATGACATTCGTTGTCACGGTTAAGCAGTAAGGAGGATTTCTCAGACGTATAATACCACCAATGGAGTTCAAAATCGTGTCGATGTAGTCGATCGAATTTGTATTACCAACCAATGAATCGGTAATTCGAGAACGGTAGTCGTCCTTTCGTCGATTGTAATCGAATCTTTATTGTGTTCTTTTTATTTTTATTTTAATAAATATATATATATATATATATTATAATAATTTATATTATTATATATATTATAACCTTAATCATATTATTAATATTATAACTTAATATAAATAAATATAAATATACTAATAAAAAATATAATATAAAAAATATAATAATAATAAATATAATAATAAATAAGTTATAATATATATATATACGAACTAGTAATAGAAAAAAAATAATATCGATGCACTGCATATCAAACTTGATTAATAATGATAATGATAATGATAATTATTATTATTATTATTATTATCAATATTTAATTATTATTATCAACGACAATATTAATAATAATAGATACTTACAAATTTAAATATAATAATTATTCTTATTAATTATGTATATAACCAAGATAACCATTATACATGTATATTATTATTATTATTACTATTATTATTATTTAATGATTCATTTATAAATAATTATTTCTTTGATGATTAAATTCCACACGAATTAGATATTCGTCAAAACTTATAATACCATATCCAAACTTCTTGATTATTCCATTTAATAATTGTGAACTTTAAAAGAATGACGATGAATAAAAATTTTTTGAATTTGATCATGTAAGAGATAGAATATAGTTACGTTTAACCGAAAGACGCGTGTGACCTCGGGTGTATTCTCTAGTCGTGGTTGGTAATTCATTGACTTGGTAACTCGACGGTGACTTTCACCGGTGATTTACGCGAAAGCTTCGTAAGCGGCTTGCCTCAGTTTCAAATTCCGTTCTCTCTTCATCAATGAGCCTTGTGCCCTACGCGGGTAAGGAATGAGGAAGGGAAATGGAAACACGAAGAAAGATATATATACATATATAATACTTACTCACTCACTCTCTCTCTCTCTCTATCTCTTTCCATACAACATGACTAACATAAGTATACGTTGAAGAGAGATAAAGACAACGCGAAAACAGTAAGAAAGAGAAAGAGATAGAGAGAGAGAAAGGTACGAGGGATGAAACGCAGCAAAGGTTATTTGCACCGAGTTGTCTTTTTTTTTTTTCAGTACTTTTTGTTCGAACAGTTTGTCGAACGGCTCAGCCGGCTGATCTGCGGGATGATGAGCATGAACTACATTCTATATAAAACCCGGGAGCATTTTAAGCTCCCGGACGAATGCGCTTTCGCGGTGTACGGGACGTGCTGTTATACTCCTCATCGATCGTTTAACGAGAGAAAGAAAGAGAGAGAAAAGAAGAGAAAGAGTTAGTGGGATCGTCTTTAAGTTGTTGCTACGAAAAGATCACAAAGATCGTTTCAAACGATACTCGAAAAATGTTCTTCTTGTCTCCTTTAACATCATTGTCTTCCCGATCATGTTTTATAAATGGATCATTCATTATTATTATTATTTTTATTTTTATTATTTTTACTCTTTACCTTTACTTCGATTAATTAAATACTACGTTTACAATAAAAAAAATATATTATTTTATTATTATTATTATTGATCGAACAACTTTATTTCATATGTCAATTATTTCACGTCTTTTGATGTGCAAACATTTACTCTTTGTTTTTATTTTTATTTTTATTTTTCTATTTATTTTTTTTTTTGTTATCGGTCAAAGGTATTATTCATGTTCGGGTTGATAAAATAAAATAAATACATGTGCGAATGCGATAGAATATCGATGCATTTTTTTTTTTTTTTAATTCGTTTTCATTCTCTACAATATGATTATATCGATTGTTGATTAATTTAAATTGTTATTATTATTATTATTATTATTATTATTATTATTATTATTATCATTATTATTATTATTAGTAACATTTGTAATCAAATGCCAAATGAAATGTATCAAAAGAAATTTGTGCCAGAAATAATTCATAGGATTTACCAATCTTTTCGTAAATATCGCATGAAAATAAACGAAATTATCGTTATCGTTATCAATGTATCATCATCTATTTATGCGAATAATTTTGAAAAATTTATTCTCACATTAAATGTGCCGTTTTAAATATGATATTGTCGAGGGACCGATACTCGTTGAAAATTGAAACGTTAATTACTGTTATGAGATAAAGGTATAAAGTCAAGATAAAACAGAAAGAGAGAGAGAGAGAGAGAGAGAGAGAGAGAGAATGACTGAAAAAATAAAAAAGAAACTTTAAGCAAGCTCTGACGTATATCAGAACCAATAATCCGGCACTTTAAAAAGTTTACTTTATCCGATGACGAGCATGTATAACGAGCATCGTCGTTGGACTACCTGAGTAACACTAATTGAAACCGGTGTGGCGAGTTGTACATACGAGATAGCTCAAAGGTGCGAAACTCAGAATATAGTCGATAAACGTGTGATAACGTTTCGTAAATAAAGTTAAGAAATCTTTTTTTACAATATTTTCAAACAAAAATATAATCACCTGTTGTGCTACACGAATGGTTTTACATTGATCTATTTATTATTAACCCCTTAAGTTAGACGTTCGAGTTAACTCAAGCGACGTTGTATCACGTTGAGTCTAAATTGTTCCTTAAGGTAATAATTTGATTAATTTTATTAAGGTATACATTAGATTTTACATTAAATATATCTAAATTATTTATACGTCTCTCATTTAGCTAATAGAAAAAAATAGAATGATATTCACATTCGTTCATTAAGATGCAAGGAGAAGATGTAACTTTGCGTGGTGGTAACTTTGCGTGTATCCCATATACTTACTTCCGTCAATCGGTCAATGAGGAAAATTGGCTAAGAGTTTCATGAATGGGCCGCCTGTGAATAAAGTAGCTACATGTTAGTACAGGTTTATGGAAGCAAGCCGGTTTTAGTTACGCTAATAGCGTAGTAATGCTGGCTGATCTTTTCGAAATCCCGTAAGAGCATTAACCGCTCGCACGTGAGCAAGTTAAATTGCTATGATGCGGGTATACGAAGCGGGGTACCTAGCTATCACCTGACTACAGAGTGTATCAAAAGAAAGGGATGATCGGTCCATCAAATAAAAAAAAACAGAACAGCGAGAGAGGGAGAGAGAAAAAGGGAAGAAAAACGTATCGACAAATGAGATCAAAATATCCCCGTTAGAATGAAAACAAATAAAAGGTAAATACATAGATCAATTAACGAGATCTATTTTCAATTATTTCAATACCTTATCTGTTTTCATAATTCCGAGGAAGGGGAGAATTCTCTACTTAAATAAGACAATATTAAAAGAATCTGTTTATCTCGATAGACAATATCAATTTTAGAAGACATCATCATCAGCTCGATATTACGATTCTCTCTTACTCTCTCTCTCTCTCTCTGGAGGAAAACAATCGTCGCATCTTTTCTCCGCCATTATCGTCATACATAGAAAAGGAAAGGAAGGAAGGTAGGAAATACTCGGTGTACGATCGGTGAAAAATATTTGAAAATAGCGAGTTACGTTCGCCCATTTTCTCGCAATCTATTCGCATAGGACGATGAAGTAGGAAGGAAGATGAATAGAGCAAAAGTGAGAGATGGAAAGGAAAAGAAAGAAAGAGAAAGAGAGAGGAACAACGTAGCAAAGCATAAATGAGAGAGAAAGAAAGAAAGAAGACATCGAAGCTCGAAGGGAGAGAAAATATATTTTTGTTAACGTAGTTGGACGAATCGTAAAGCCCGATTGGTTCCCCACTATGACGCCCACCAATATCAGGAACGGCCCTAAGTCGTGCTACGAATGAACATTGCAGGGTAGTAGGTCTAGGTTTGGTGGGGGTATCCCTACCCTGTAGATTTCTTCTCCCCTACCAGGTAGAAACGCCAACCGACAGCTAGCACAGAGGAGTCCCTTCCACTAGAATACTCAATATAACCCCACCTGTACTCGAGTCTGGTCCCCCACCAAGATTTTAGAGGACGCGCGCATAAGCCCCTCTTTTCTCCTCTCTCACTCTACTCGTTCTCCTTCGCACAGCTTCTTTCTCTCTCTCTATCTCTCACTCGTTCGTACGTTCGCGCCCATAACCCCTCGACCAAGAGAGCGATCCGTAACAACTAAAGTTCTCGTGAAAAGTTTAGCCGGGTTCTCTCTTCTCTTCTCTCTTTCTCTCTCTCACACTCCTTCTCTCATATACACATACATCCTTCGTTCACGTATACACACGTATAAGGCGCATATCACGGAAAGCGTGTAGCTATAATAGCTGCTTTTGGTGATCTCTCTCTCTCTCTCTCTCTTTCTCTCTCTCTCTCTTTCTCTCTCTCTCTCTCTCCCTCTCTCTTTCTCTCTCTCTCTCTATATATATATATATATATATATATATATATATATATATGTATACATATAGCCCAACTCTGTTTCTACCTCTATTCTTGTCCATCTGTAGTCTAGCTTCGTCTAACGTGGCTCGTTCCAGAGACGACTCGTCATTGCTGTACATCTGGTAGAGAGAAAGAGAGAGAGAGAGAGAGGAAGAGAAAGGGAAAGAGAGAAATAGATAGAGAAGAGCAGCCAATCGCACGGACCAGGATTAGGGAATAGAATAGTCATTATCGGTGTATATATCCAAGCACTCGGTCCGTTCCAAGTTCGCTTCGACCGTCCTGGCCGCACGCACGCTCCCCGTCCCGTACTGCCCCCGCCCCCAACGAATCGCGCCCTCTCTTTCTCCCTTAAACTTTCTCTCTCTCTCTGTCTCTCTCTTTGTCGCGTTCTCGCGCGTTCTCTCTACTCTCCTCCGTCGGTCGCGTTTCGGCTGGTGCGAAACGTCGTGGTGGCCGGCCAGAGTAAAGGCAAGCGTGTGTGCTGTGAGTTGTCGATCGAAAACACCTAACTTGCCCCTTTTCGTTTCACCGATCGACAGCACGTACACGACCAAGACGACGACGACGACGACGACTACGACGACACGTTGTGTGGTGAAATACGTTCACTGATTTTTAATCCAAACCCATCGTCATCAGAACGATTATCCTTTGGACGATACACTTTGAGGATTCTTTTTTCACTGGATTAACAATAAGAAGAAGAAGAGGATTTTTGACGTTTCATCGGTTCCTTTACTGCCGATTACGGCAAACTCTGGGTGAGTAAAGACAGATTCTCCTTTCTCTCTCTCTCTCTCTTTCGTTCTCTCTATCACTATCTCTATCCCTTTCCCTCTTTCTATATGTCTGTCTTTCACTCTCTCTCTCTCTTTTCCCTGATCTAATCAAAGAGTAATTGAGACACTGAAGTTATCAGGCTAATGACACAAGGTGATTGAACCAGGCCCATAAAAATGGTCTTACCTGTTTTTTTTTGTTTTCTTTTATTCATTTTCTATACTTTTTCCTTGACAACGACGACTACAACGACGATTACTTTGTAGTAATTTCTCGTGTGATTCGATGATAACACCAAACAAGTGGATTGTGTGATATAAAGGAATTTTCACTGTTCGTCGTGTCGGTCTATCGATCCAAACGCGTTTCGTAACATCGACCCTCTGGCTTCCATGCACTGACTGTGTTAAGAAAAAAAAAAATTTGTATATTATTACATCGATATGTGTTTCTTCTTATATCTTTCCTAGAACACCAATTAATTGTATGGTTCTTTCTTATTTCGACAATATTTTCGATGATTTGTTTTTAGACTTGCCTTTTATTTCTCTTGATCATTTTCGTACACTTTGAATAGTGAATCTTTATAATCGTAAAAGTGTTTTCCACGTGTCGTATGGACTTTGAAAATAAGATACGTTATTACGGTTAAAGGATATCTTTAAATACCTTTTTACTAGCGCGAAATAAATGGCAGGTATTACTGCTTTAATTATAGTCGATAAGTTTAAACGAGGTTATTTGTTATTTTGTTTTGTCTAGTTCAATGTTTATACTAAATAACTAAAATTGTTCTAAAAGAGCTATTACACCGTTACCTTATCGGTTAAATAAGTATTGTTCAATTCTCCAATTCGTATTTTTATATTTTTCAAAGTATTTTAAAACTTCTCTATGTTAATTGTAAAAAATTTGACGATGATTCGACTATTGTTAAACAATCTTTAAAACGAAACATTCAAATAACTGACATCGCAAATTCTTTTCTATTATTTTTTCGTTATTTTTATTTATTTATTTATTTATTTATGTGTTTAATTATTATTTCTTTATTTGATTTCTTTTATATCTCTCGATAATTATTATTTGTCAATATTCGTTCGCCACGATTACATTTCGTAATGTAAACGTGGAAAAAAAAGGAAAATGAGGAACTAAATAGAAAGAAAGATAAAGGGGGATGAGAGAGAGAGGGAGAGAGAGGGAGGAGGGGCGATGAAAGAAGAGGGAGAGATCCAGCCATCCGAATCAATTGAAATCGGGTACTGCGGCGAACGAATACCCACATCGAAAACTCCGACGTTTAATCGGCGAGCCGTAAAGCTTTCATCCAACTGAAACGGAGAATATAGGTATATAATATATATATATATATATATATACATATATACATACATCTATTTATATATACCATACCTATATATATATATAAATTTGCACGCAATACCTGGACGATTGGTCGAAAATTTTGTGAGAGAAAATAGAAATGGTGCACACATTTACCATGGAAATAATCAACAAGTAAGCAAAAAAAAAAAAAGAGAAGAAAAATGATTCGTGGTTTTTCTCTTTCTCTCTCTCTCTCTCTCTCTCTCTCTCTCATTTTTATTTTTTTTTTGTATTCGCATAAATTTCGTTCGTCGAAGATCATCGATGGAAAATTTCCAAAATGATCGATCGATTAGTTTGATAATGGATTGTATTTTGTGATAATTATTTGATCAATGATTTGTTTATTGGTACTCCTATGATTTTTTGTAAATCAAACAATTGTTTTCGTACGTACGAGAAAAATCAGGTGAAACTATGACATAGCACAACGACAACGTGCCGAGATAGTAGTTGGCCAGCAGGATTTCCACGGAAATAATCTGCTTACGGTAATCTTCTTGGTTCGAGTCTCCCTCCAGGTTTAGGTCCGCCTTCCACGAGGAGGACCTTATCGTTCGTCTATACGCGCTGTGGAATGTCCTCTCCGAAAGCACAGGACAGAGTACGACGACGACGACGTCTCGGATCCTAGTAGTCGTCGTTGAGATTTCGTATCTGACGTCTGAATTTTCTATTAGAAATTTTTTACACCTTTAATTCATTCTTTTTAAAGGGGGTGCTAAGAAGGGTGTGATTATTGTGAAAATTGTCTTAAAGGAAATATTCAATCATGGTTAGAAGGAATGATAAGAACAGTCCAATAACCTGCAGATAAAGATGTGCATTGTAATTGGATGAAATTGGAGGAAAGATAAAACGAAAGAAGAAAATTCCTCACTTGGTTGGAAAAGATAAAAAAATTAGAAGAAAATCTTAGAAATTCTATGGTGAAGATCATTGGACAACTTGAAGAAAGAAGAAATCAGGAATACCAATAATATAATATTCTGTTTAAAAAATTATAAATTCTGTAAATAAATCAAACAGAAAGAAAAATTGAAACGTAACAAACGTAACAACAAAATAAAGTGAAGGGAAAAAAAATATATATATATATATAAGAAACGAATTGATTATTTACTTTAATACTATTAGCAAAATGACGAGAGAAAATTCAATAAGACTATGAAGAATTCAGGTTCGTGGAAAGTAGTAGAAGTAGAAAAACGGCATAGTTCGATCACATCGGAATCGAACGACGAACGGCCATGGAAGCCGAACGTCGTGGAAAGAAGAATTTCCAAGGCTTCCAACGACGACGAGTGTTGGACTTCGTGCTGAATCGACTACCAAGGACGAAGATTAAGCGTTACTCGATTTCCAAGCTAACCACTACCACCCATCACCACTAATGGAAATTATTAAACCTATCTTTCCTAACTTTGATAATATATTAATAAAATATTATATGTGATTCAATCAAATGTGACGTAAGTTAAACGTCAGTCAAGACATCACATAAAACTTAAGAATCACCACTAATGGAAATATTAGTATACCCCTATTTTAATTAATTTTGATAACATACTATTAATAAAATATCATTTGTGATGCAGTCAGATATGACATAACAAAGAAACATAAGTTAAATGTCAAGACGTCACATACAACTTAAGTTAAACTACCACCAATGGAAATTAGTACATCCCTATTTTAATTAACATTGATAACATACTAATAAAATATTATATGTTATGCAATCAAATGTGACATAACAAAGAAACATAAGTTAAATGTCAAGTAGTCACATACAACTTAAGTTAAACTACCACCAATGGAAATTAGTACACCCCTATTTTAATTAACATTGATAACATACTAATAAAATATCATATGTGATGCAATCAAATGTGACGTATCAAAGAAACATATGTAAAACCATATATAACTATAAAAAAGTCAGATTTGAAGTAGTATCCATGTAACAACAATAAGAATAAGGATCCTTCGAGTATAAAGAATTTAAGCATCCGGAAGTGGCCTTTTTGGAGGGTTGCATTTCGTCGGTTTGGTTTCATATCTATCGAAAGATCGTGATGTTGTATCTTTGAAACGAAGTGAGTGGAATTGATCGACGTGACCACCAACATAGTGCTTATGGTAGTGATGCTTGTGGTAATGGTGATGGTGTGTTCGAATTTAAAAAGAAGATAGCATTCTTCTTCTTCTTCTTCTTCTTCTTAAAATTGGCTTGGAATGTAATGGTGGTGCAGTGGTAACGGCGGCAATGGCTAGCGAAAAAAAAATGAAAAGAAAGAAGAAAAGGTAAAGAAGAAAGAAAATGGCGGATGGAATGGTAGTAGAGGGTGAAGAAGGCTCATCTCTTTCGAGGTGAAAAAAAAGGGAAAGAAAAATAGAAAAAGAAAATAAGAAGAAAAAAAAGTAAAGAAGAAGAGTGAGAGGGTGGAGAAGAGGAAAGGGATGCTATTGGAATCTTTTCATCGTAGTGGAATAAAAACTAACTAGCAAAAGAAAAGAAAAAAAGGTATATATATATATATATATAATATGTATATAGAAGGTGTATTACCTTACAGAGAATTTCCACGGGAATTAAGTTTTACGCTCAATGAACGCGCAACAACGACGCGTCCCCGGGGCTAAATTGCATTGAATGCGACTCTTCGAGGAATCGTTTGCTACCCGTACACGACTCGGTACGCATGGCTACCATCCCTTAAGCAGGTATTCTTCGCGCGCACCGCCGCGAGTATAGTATGTTAGGCAGCGTGCTAACGGGCACATTCCTATTTTTTCGAATTGCCAAAAGAAAATCAAGAAGGTCTGAACAATAAAAAAAATACAAAGGAAGAAGGAAAGAAATAGGTATAAAAGTAGAATAGATATTGCATTTACATATTTTTAAATATATTAAATAAAAATAGATTTAAATTTATAGCTATTTAAAAATATCGAGCAAGGGAAGAAATAACAAAATTAATTTAATCAAGGAAACTTTCCTTCTTCAAGTTTTGTTTTTATAAAAAAAAAATGAAGAATATTTGAACAAAAAAAAAATCGTTAAGGAAAGAAATAGTTTTAGAAGTAAAATAAATATTACATTTACATATTTTTAAATATATTAGTTAAAAAAAAAAAAAAATACAAATTTATAGCACAATTAAGGGATGAAACAGAAAATAAATTTAATAGAATAAAATATTGATTTTAAGAAGTTCATTATATTTAATGTTAATTATTTTGAATAACGAGTAAGTAGTGAATTTTACTCTAACATCTGCAACATGTATATATGTATTTATAGAGAAAGAGAGAGAGAGAGAGAGAGAGAGAGAGAGAAGGAGATCTAGGCATCAGGACTCGTAAACTTTCAGCCTCGATATCGAACAGACTCAAATCGTTATCGCTTTGATGCGCCTCCTAAGTATCTCGCGAACCTCTTGCCCTCGGTATTAAGCAAATTGGATCTTTGTTATAGCCCAGCGATATTAATCTACCAACTTTTTTTCTTTCTTTCTTTTTCCCTGGTATAATCCGATAAGAAGATTATATCGTACGCATTAGAATATGCAATTGCATTCGTGACTGCAAGATGGCAAACGACTTTCTTTTGTTTGATTAAATAATTTCTTCTCTTTTTCTTTTTTTTTTAATCGAAAAGTACGAATAATTTCCGTGATCCTCGAGAAAAAAATTTCCTTCATTCGAAAAGAAAAAAAAAAAAAAAAAGAGAGAAGGAAGGAAGGAAAGAAAGTTTTCTATTGGTAGATATTTTCGATGGGATGTATTTTTTTTTCTTCAAGTATCCTTGAAGAATTCATATCGACGATTCATCGACGTGTAAACGAATTTCGTTCGTCTCTTAATGCTTCGTTCGTTTCACGAGTACCACCTTATGCCTTTTCTCAGTTATATATATATCGTAAAGCTACTATACTACTTCTACCATCTAGGATTTTGTTATGTATTCCTCATATGTGTTGTATATATGCATATAGAATGTTCTATAGACAGGCCAGTGCTTTACTGCACTCGAAGCAGCCAAACGACTACGATGACGAAGACTATGACTATGACTATGACTATGACGACGACAACGAAACGACGAACGTTCGTTCGTTCACCAAAACCATCGACGAGGTCTATGCGAACGTCCATTGTGCGACTTAGACGAAGAATACCAAAGAGGATACTCGAGGAACAATGCGCTTGTGTGCAAACACTTCTCGAAACAATGCAAGCCAGAACTTAACTTCCTACGATAGCTCAGACCAACTTCGCTTTTCTTCTCTTCTCTTCTTCAATATATGTATATATATATTATATTATTTTATATATAAGTATAGAGGTAGTACATATGTTACTGTTAATGTGTGTATAATTTAGTTAATTTATGAGAAACATGTGTATAAAATTTTGATAATACTACTATATGTATGGTTATTTCATTGATAAGATTTTGATATTAGCGTGCATATACATACATATTTATATTTATAAGGAATATATCTATATATAAGGAAATAAGTATCTAACCATTCTAAGATAATTTTATTATTAGTTATAATTCGAAAAAATTACCTATAAACTTATTCATTATAAGTAACGTTCATTATTAGTAATGTTCAAGATAACAGTAGTAGTTGCAATAATTTGGTAATTAGGTATACGATTTAACAAAATTTGTCAAATTTACTTTTATCAAATTTTTAAGATTATTATAATATATACAGGAAAAACAATATTAACAAGTTGTCTAATTGAAACAATAATTTGTGTGTCTAATAATTTTACAAAAAACCGTAAAGTACAAAAATCAAACCTTTTTAAATGTATGATGGAATAAATGAAATTTGTAGACAATTGGAAGAGTTTAACAATCTTTTTTCTATCTCTCTCTCTCTCTCTCTCTCTCTCTCTCTCTCATGGGACATGTAATAACAGGGATTTAACGATCATTAAAAACTACAGGCCAGTGTATGGTCTATCGATTGGTAACGCAAAGTGTTTGCAATAGGACCGGACTCTTGAAGGACGAAACGAGGGTGAGGGAGTTTTTGCAATGAGTAGTACTAGATGGTTTCGTTGAGAGGAAGAATGAGAAAGGGACCAGGCGGGGAATGGTTGGCGAAGGTGCTCGAGGGTGGAAAAAGTTCTTTTTTTTTTCTTTTTACCCTCGAATAAGGAGGGGTAGTAGTATAGACTATCTGAAGTACACTTTTGAATCAATCGAGTGGTGACTTGGGCGTTTTCTCTACACTTGTCGTTCTGTAACAAGTGTATTGTTCTGCGTGTTGTTCTCGAGTGAACTCAGATAAAAAGAGAAAGAACCTGGTCAACCACTGAACCACCCCCTTTCGACCTTTCCCTTCCCTCCTCCTTCTACACCACCTTCTTCAAGTTTTGTTTCATTAGATTACGTGTTTGAGGCAGAATTCTAACGAGAGTCACCGATAGGACTCTTATTCTAAGGTTTCCCTATTCTTTTTCTCTGCTTCATGGAAATTTACAGTTTAACAGAGTTTTATTTAGAGTTATATTCTTCTTCAATGTAGTTGCACTTATTTTTGTTCCTAATCCAACAACAAAAAATATCTTTTCCAATATATGAAATGATTGTTCAACCGAACAAGAAATTCCACGTGAATGGTAAGAACGTAAATCAACATGTCTAGTGGTATGTAATATAAAATCGTCATTAGAAATAGAAATAGAAATGAGAAAGAGAGAAACAGAGTAAAAGAGTAAGAGGAAAGGGAGTGGTCCAATCGTTCGCACAGCGGGATAAAACAGTATGAAAAGTGTAGTGGCACTCGTGAGGCGGCGCAACCGTTTCATCCGTATTTGTGCAAAGGGAGAGGAAAGCTCGAACGAGTTTCTGGGTGGATCGCTTTGAAGAGACCCTTTTCGCGGGAGCGAAGCCCACAACTCCTTTTCATTCGAATGTAACTTCAATATAACCGGTGCTCAGAGTTACCGCCGAACAATACTTTATTAAAAAATGAGCCTCTAAGATTTCGTTGCTTCGAAAGGAACCAGAAAAAGAAAAGAAGATAAAAAAAATACCACCAGAGACAGACAAGCAAGCAAGCAATTATTATTCCGCGTACGGACGTCATATGATTGTTTCTTGCAGATGTGGCAGATGTTAATTATCATGCGATTAGAGTCTCATAATCCAAAACATATGCGTGGCGTGAAGAGACACGATATCTTTCTGGCAAATGCTTCCCAAGGTGTTTCTTCCAAAGGGAAGTATATAAAGTATCTCACTTTTTCTTATATCTTTAAGACAAAGTAAAAGAGAGAGAAAGAAAGAGTGAAGGATGTGATGGGTCCCGATAGACGTCCTTCTCGAAGGTATGTAATCGGAGAGGATAAAATGAGCGGCTTAAGAAACGTTGGTCATATTCTCTTTCTCTCTCTCTCTCTTTCTTGAAGCTGCTAGTATTCTCGCTTTTCGGCGTTTTCGCATCACAGGAATTAGGTTGCATTGGAAGAAAGAAAGAGAGAGAAAAATAGATAGATAATACACACGTACACACACACACACACACACATACAAGAGAAAGGAATTCTTGTCTTTTTGTGGGTAGGCTTAAGATCCTTGTTTTTTCTTTTATCCTTTTTTCTTATTCTTTACCGGCTGACGCTTTTGAATTTGAATTTTCAGGAACATCGAGAGAAGAAGAAGAAGAAGAAGAAGAGGAAGAAGAAGAAGAGGAGGAGGAGAGGGGGAGTCGTGCTGGGGGCCGAGGGGGTGGTGATGTGGCCGAATAGCCTCGGCGGGACTTCCGGTTGCAGTGGAGGTGCCGGCAGCGCCGATCTCGGAGGCCTCGCTGCCTCCACCACCTCGGCCTCCGAATTATTTGGCCCTGGTGCATTTGGTACTTCAGCGGCTGGGCCTTACGGTGCCCTTAAAACCAACCCTTACGTTAGTGCTCTGGGTATGCCACCTATCGAGGCCCTTCATTCGACCATCGGCTATCCGGCTTGTACACCCGCCGGTGAGTCATACTACTGTGAGTGCCCACAACATTCTTTGTTAATTCATATTTCTATTTCTATTTTGATATTAATCATCTTGCGGCTCACCGACATTCATTGGTATTGTATTTGTATTAATTAGATCAAAGTGGTCCGTGTCGCGTGAAAGATTCATTTGGGTTGATCGATTTTTTTTTAATATATTCTTTATTTAAATGGAATAAAACACGGTAATATTGTATTGGATTGATCATTAAATAATGTCACAACTTGTAATTAAAAATATTGATTGGCGTTGCATATTTAAATATAACATATCGAAGATTCTGACATTTCAAATTGAAATATATAATTAATTAGATTATTTTAGGTAGTAAAGATAATCATCAAATATTTCTGTACTTTCTTTCGTGAACGAAAATGCAAATTTTTTTGTGTCAATGTTTCAAAAGAAATGTTACAAAAAAATGATCTATTAATCTCATTGGACCAAAAGGTTACGTCCTAGTTCGCAAATAAAAATGGATACGTTATATAAATATTTCGAAAGTTTTCCCAGTGACGTAATGCATCTTCTGTCGAAGGTAATCCCAGGAAACAACGGAGAGAACGAACGACATTTACGAGAGCACAGCTCGATATCCTTGAAGGACTATTCTCCAAAACGAAGTATCCTGACATTTTTATGCGCGAAGAAGTTGCGATGAAGATCAATTTACCGGAATCTAGAGTCCAAGTGAGTTCAAATTAAGAAACGAAGAACCTAAACCAAATGATGTTTCCAAAATGTTTATGTTGGAAATTATTGAAATCACGGAAGGTGATAGAAAAGTTAAGCCGATTTCGAATGATATTGAAATTCAATCCTAAAAATGTAAATGGTGTGATCGAGATGAAGATATAAAAAGGAAAGAATGGTGTTTGTCAGTTGTTTTTTTTTTCTTGAACGGGGACCCCCGAGTTCAGAGGACCCACGCACACGATGAGCTGCGCCGGCACGCGGACACCATAGACGCGAGGCCATCGATTTATCTTACCCGGCGCGACCTAACTCGCTCGTTTCGCTTTAACCGAATTAGTCGTTTACCCTACAAGTACATCGACCCGTACCTATGCTCGTACTATGAAAAGACACGCAGACCAGACCAGCCCTTCCTTCTTTCCCTTTCTGGCATACCTCGTAATTCAATCTCGAAAAATTCCACTACAGTCATTCTAAAAAGTAACCCCCGTTAGGCTAATCATGCAAACAAATCTAATTCAACATATTGCACAAAATTTATACTTTATCATCCTAAAATTTGCCATATTGGATATATTTGTTTTTTTTTGTTTATTAATTAAATTAGTTCAATGATAAACCTATAAAAAAGTTATTCATTAAATTTGTTTACTTCTTAATAGTATAAAATATAAAAATTAACCATCTGATAGTTACATTGGATAAATATTTTTAAATGCAATAATTTAAAATGACTTTCAATTTAACAAACCTAGAAGAAATTTCGACCTATTCTGATTCACTTTAAAATGATACAATAAAAAAAAAAAAGGACTGGACTTTCTACAGAATTTTTTTCTTTCTTTAACGACTTCGTGACGTATGCTATTGAAACTTTTGTTCCGGTCGTGGGCCAAGAACGTGCCGATGCATATTACACCCTCATATTTGTTAGGGCGAGAAAGGACACAAGTAGCATCCGCGATCGCTGGACGAAAAGCAGAAGAACACCTGGTTGACTCTTTTACCGCGATTGAAATGAATACCACTAACGCGAAAGTATAGTCTTGTGCACGTACGTTGGCGTCTGCTAAAGCTCGATCGACATTTCTTTTTCCTGACGAATAAAACGATGGTATTCATATATACCTAGCCTATCCCTTTTATTCCTTTATTTTCATAACGATTCTACACTTTAGTATTCTTTCTTCTTCTTCTTCTTTTCTTTTTTTTGTTACATCGACCAATTTTTTATTTCTTCTCTTCAAACGATTCCTAGACAACTTGCATTTTATTTCCTATTATTCTCACGTTCTTTCTTTACTTTTTTTATTATGGGTGATTTAGGGAACACAAATAGTTAAGTGTCGGAAAGGATATTTTTGTCCAAAAAAGAACAGAAAAAAATAGAAAATAATTATTAAATAGTCGGATCAACTTCAAATATTCAAATAAGACTACCTGAAAAAGGTTTAAATTATTGTACAAATTTTCCTAAATAACAGAAATAACCAAAAATCATTCGAGTACCAGTTAAGACTCTTTTTTTATTCTACGGTGGCACGAGTCCCTCAACTATGGTGTCGCGTGGTAACAACTTATGAGTGTTGAAGAAAAGGTTAAAAGTGTTTTCTTAGGGTATACCAAAGCAAAATGAAACTAGAGAATTTGGTATAGGATAGGATGGGTCTAACGACAAGAATATACTCGAAGAATGCTACTAGCTCGTGTCGTTCCCTAGAAAATCCGTAGAAACCCAAGCTCACCTCTCAACTTCTAACATTGATCGCGTGGGGCTTCTTTCTCTCTCTCTCTCTCTCTCTCTCTCTCTCTCTCTCTCTCTCTCTTTACGTTTCTTCACTCACTTTTCTTCTATCTCTTATTATCTTTCCTGTCTCACTTTTCCAACAACAATGTTTCATTGAACGTAAACAAGAACATTAAAAATCCATTTTTTTTTTAAATCATTTCTACCATTAGATGATAATCAAAACTATATAAGAGAAATTCACGTATAAATAGGAAATACACCGCCATCTTTCGGTAAACCAAAGACGTTTCCGGTACTTTTGCACGTGCGCGTCGTTCTGGGATCGATTTCGTTTCGACCTTACGAACGAATCTGAACTCGTATCCTCTTCTCGAGCAAAAAAAAATGGCGTTTTCTAAATAGAAGAAAATAATAGACAGATAGATAGAGAGACAGAGAGAGAGAGTGAGATGATCCTGTGATATATAATAAGTCATAGGAGAGACTCTAGCTAACTGATCAAGCAACGATCAAATCTATTTGATCGAAAGCGTTGACCGGGAATTAAAGGGTAGCGATGCATAGCTCATAGAAAATCGGCTTATTCTATTCAGAAACGTTTACTACCTAGTAATAACTATATACATATAACTATAATTCTACTATAATACTATTGAATTAACTATATAGATCTCTATTGAGATTGAATACAATCCACGTTAGTCTTCTTCTTCCATTAGATTTCAATTGATAACCAATAGATCTTCTAATTCAATGACATTTACCTATTAGCTCAAAAAAACTCAACGTTTATAATATTATTTGACGTTAATTATCACAGGTTTGGTTTAAAAATCGACGTGCCAAATGTAGACAACAACAAAAACAACAAGAACAGCAACAAGATAAGGCACCTAGATCGAAGAAACCTTCGGGAAATCCTACGAGTAATCCACCTCCTGGAAAGAGTCCTTCGATCGCTACCACACCCACGCCAGCTGCGGCTGTACCAGCTACAACTCCCCTGTAAGTATTACTCTTATCGATCTACACATTAAAAGATAATGCTATCTCGATGATAAACAAGAATATACGGATTATCTGTTCAATTTTTCTGTTTGATGATTATTTATTCAATGTATATTACCAAATAAAAGTTTGAGTACTATATGTTGTATAAAACAGCTAACTAATTGCATCATTTATATCTAATTATAGTGCAGGTGAAAATAATCTGATGTAGCATTACTTTCATTAGTTCGTAGATGATCTAACACTTATAAATAAAAATTAAAAAAAAACAGTCTTATATATTTATTTATTCTAATCGAAATAATAATTTTTGTTTAGAAGTGGAGGAACTGGAGGATCTGCAGCTAGTTCGCCAGCCCTTTTAAGGGACTCACCTCAATATAAACCTGCTGGACCTGCCACTAGTTTACTTTTGGCTGCAAATACAACGCCTCCTAGCGTAAGTTACATTTCATTCCTTTACTTTTATTCTCTGCTCAATTTATTTTTAAAAGAATTAACTTGTAATTAAAAAAAAATAAATGAATCTTTACAGTTGAGTGGTACGGTGTATAGTAGCGGTGGAAGTAGCAGCAGTATTTGGAGTCCTGCAGTAACGGAAAATGGTGGATTTACGGGTGATCATCAGAGGTTAGCGTGGACAACAACAGCGTCTCAACAGCAATGCTATCAAAATTATTCTTCTTATTATACAAACATGGAATATTTGTCACCTGCATCGCATCAATTGAACGTTGTGGTAAATTATATTTTTTTAATAAAAAGCAAAAATTAATTTTTAAAAATGTAAAGTACAATTTGTTGGTTCAGGACGGAGGTGGAAGTGGATTGGACAATACGTGGAGCAAAACAAGAGACGAGAGCGCATCTTCATGGTTTTACAATACCGCTGGCTGGGGTGACCGAAAGTGAACATTAAGAGGAAAATAAATTAAAGAAATAAAAAAAACAAAAAAAAAAGTAAGAAAAAACCATGGCGTCCTTCGAGAATTTCAACGGCCGGGTACATATCATCGACAATATATAGGGGAACGTCTTACTTTCGAAATTAATTCTAATAATTAAAAAAAAAAGAAACAAATACGTGAGAGCAACGACGATGACCTAAAATTGGAACAAAAAGAAAATATTTTTCTTGACGATGAATCGACGTTGTCATTGTCGTCATCGTCGTCGTCGTTGCCGATTCGTCACGTTTATAACAATTCTATCGAAAACATATCGATCGTACGCGAACTTCATCGATTATTATTATTATGATTATTATTATTATTATTATTATTATTATTATATTATTAATGATTATGCTGCTAACTTACGCGGGAATCGAGTTTATTATTTCAGGGCTATGGTCGTGTACGTATACTTAGGATAACATAGCTATCAAGTTAGGTTTACGAATGCGAATACTCAGAGAGAACGTGTGTTATAAGTATGCGTATGTATTTATACATACGTGTATTATTCGCTTCGAATCATAAGTCTTATTAATTTTCACATTAAATCGGTTCTCAAAGTGCTGCTAGTCATTACGAATATGAGTAAATATGTATAAATGCCAAACGAAGGTGAGATTAAATTTAGATTCTATTGTATCGTTTTCGATTGATCGAAACAAACGTGTACAATCGAACCTCGTATAATACACGGTACACCGTAAAACGTAATACGAGTTATAAGAAGCTCAGAATCGTACTGTACGTAGGGGGAACAAAATTTTATAGGGGGTTTGATGGTATAGACAAAAAAATTTGATGTTCATTTCGCGATCAAAAGAATGAATAAGAAACTAACCAATCCTAGGGACTCACCAGTTTAATTCTTCTTCCTTTTTTCGCAAACTCCTTTATCACGTGACTCTCTCATCCAAAAACCTGCAAATATATAAACAAGAAAAAATAAGAAACATTATAGATCAACGAATTCGTTCAACGTGCATGATTCATTTGCAAAATTGGAAATGACAACGATTCTATCAAATTCCAAAATGAAAATGTTTATTTTTTGTTTTCAAGACTAATATGTATATATTATTATAAATAGTACGAGATTCTCGAGATGATACTCAGAAGGAATTAATTAAAACTACAATAATTAGTTCGTGTAACGAATTGAACAAGTGCTGAAGTGAAGGAAAAATCAAATTGAAAACAGCCTTCACGTTTTCTTCACGAATATTTGCAACTTGCTAACGAGTGTGTGAGAGAATGAATGAGATAGAGCAAAAATTGTTTTTGAAAGGGGGATAATCACATTTGAAATATGTTTCAAAGCAAAGTATCGATTGAACTCCATCTTAAGTGTACATATGAAATTATACATAAGGATATACATCGAATATCTATGTAAATATGTATTATTTTGCAGGTCAAACGCTATCCAAACGAATACTATTTAAGTGAACAAGAAGAAAGAAAGAAAAGAATAAGAGAGTTAGGATTTGAACATTTCAATAATTTCATCTCTAAACGAGTTAAATAGCATACAAATTGATAAATACAATTTCTTCTTCTTCTTCTTCTTCTTCTTCTTCTTCTTCCTCCTATTCTGCATTGATGTTCATAAAATTTCAGATATGTACATTTTTCTTGGACGTAATTGGTGAGGATCGAGGAGAACGTATTTATTATTTTTGACAATCATTATTATCGTAATACTGTCGTAAGTATTCGATATAAATTACACGTCCAAATCTCTTCGGTGATTTTTTATTTTATTTTTTTCATAATTTTTATGTTAAATCAAAATTATCTTTTCTTTTTCAGATCAACGTTCCACGATAAAGATCCTCCTCTAGTCCATTATGTACCACATTTAATTTTTCGCTCCTTTTCATTTTGCAGATTAATTTTATTTCATGTTGATAATTTTGTGACTTACGATAAATTTTCCAATTAGATAATATCATGAATTGATAAACTTATCATCGGTTGGTAAGAAAATTCGTTTTTTTTTCGAATGATAAAGAAGTATCTTTACAAAACATGATGTACGACAAAAAACCTCGATGATTTTCACGACACGTGCAAATCAATTTTTAATGTAAGCTAGCAGAAATTGAGGATTAATATGTAAAGTATACAAAAAAAAAATCCAAGTATATATGTATACATATATACATATATGTATAAATATATACGATTTAAAAATGTAGGATTGTAAGTACATATGTGACTGTTTAGAACGTTGTTACATCAAATATTATACGTAATGATACGAATAAGAAAAGAACAACGATGAACATGTCTTAAAATGTATGAAAATAATATATCGAATTTGAATTGTAAATTCTTTTGATTTTCTGTCTCATTCAATCGTTTATTTACTTGTTGCAATTATTTCAATTTTAATTAATACATCACGATTTTATTTTATTTACAATTGATAATATCAAAGAATATATAATATTATACAGTAGAACATTAGAAGTGCATTTTAGTTAGTAAAGGAACCACCAGTTGGCGCTACTGTCATCGCATAAAGTACCTACCTCGCCTAAAGTACCTAATACCCACTGGTGGTTCCAACTCTAACTAAAATGAATTTCTTATACGAAAACTGCACACAGTACTATTTTATTATTTATTTTTTAATAATAAACATATAAAAATTACCTTCGTATGATTCCAAGGAAAAGAACGACCAATGTTTATATTCGACTAACACCTCGTGTAGGTATGGCAGATATCTCTCGTCAGTGTTTACAACTTGTAATCAACCGAAGATAACAATACTAACGTGAAACGATATAGAACTAGTCGATATATCGATTATCCCCTGTACACTAGTGATGAAAGGGCAGGGGGTAGAAGGAGTGAGAGAAAGAGAGGAGACAACATCAATTGGATGCGACGCGATACGCCGTCTAGTGATGACCGAGGAAAACTAGCGACGTATGGAGCTGTTGCGGTGATATAAAAGTCGGCGGTGGTAGTGGGGGAAGGCAGATCGAGGGTCGCGTATCGAGGGGTCGCGTCAACTTGGCGTGGGTCACCGGCCGCAGTACCGCGCGTCGCTTCGTCTCGGTCGATTCGTTTACTTTCGTTTACTTTACGTCAAAACGATTTCTACATCTTTGTGTCTATTTTTCTACTTTATACTTCAAAAAAGAAGTTTAATAGTAGTGTAACTAATAACGATACGCGTCGGAGATATTTCGTGAAGAGAAAATGACAGTTACTTGAGATTTCGCGAGTTAATCTCGAATTTAAAGAACAAACCAATATAAAAAAGGACTAATAAAATAGAAGAAGAAAATATCGTGAAAAATAGATATTTAAATCGTTGTCTTTCTTGTCTTTTTCTCTCTCTTTCTCACTCGTTGAGAAGGAATAGTGGTGGTGGTGGTGGCAGCAGCGAGTCTCGAGGGAAGTACGAAAAGGATGCGGTGCATCGAGTCGTTGGCGTTCCTCGTCCTATGCCTGCGTGAGTATTACACATACATCTTTGCATATATGTACATATACATATGTATACGTACTACATACAACATTACGACTACGAATCTTTTTTTTTCTCCCCTGAGTGAACGACGCGAGCTATTTCTCTCTCTTTCCCTTTAACTCATTCACTCGCTCACTCCAATTCTCTCTCTCTCTCTCTTTCATTCTGTAGTGCAGTGGACGAACGAGGGGATGAATCACAGGGCTCGAGCTAGAAAAAAAATGATCGCACCGAATGATACTCATTTTTGCATGAAAATATTGTACTATATTTTATTCATTCTCTTTGTTTTTTACAAACTAAATGAAAGTCCTTAATCATTCAATATATCCTTCTCTCTTTCTATTTCTCTCCTTTATCGACTTTCCTATAAACTCGCTATCGAACCAGCTTTTTTTTCTTCCTCTTATAAATTCCTCGACCGTTCCACCTCCTCCTGCTCCTGCTGATTTTCTTTTTCTCTCTCTCTTTCTCTTTTATTCCTACCTTTCCTTCCTTCCTTCACTCTTTTGCGAAGCAACGAACCGAAGGAAGCCCTGTTCTTTGACCATATTAACGCGAGAAAGCTCTTTTTTTTTTCCTTTCTTTTTTTTTCTTCTTCCACTCGAAAACTCGTTCCCTTTGCTCGTGGTTTTCTTCGCCGGCATCGAGATAATTACAGTTAATTGAAGGCAACCCTGATCGTGAGTCGGTCGCTGAAATAATGACGACTTCGAACCGGCTCACTGTCTTCTCTCTTTCCATCTCCCTTTTTCCATCTCCCTTTCCTTCTTCCTTTCTCCCTGAAAGCTATCTCGGTCTCGGTCGTTCTCAGCCCTTTTGGGATGGCTCGAAACACCGAAATATTTCCGAACCTCCAACACTAAACCACACACGCGTAGTAGAAACCTCGGTTTGGCGTAATTGCTTCCAAAACTCGCACATCTTCTTTGCTATCTTTTTTATTTTTTTTTTTTTCACTATGTTAAATATAAATATAAAAATATATATTCTCTTTCGTAGATTCCGAAAAAAAAAATAAAATAAAAAATAATGTTGATTTATAATCACTGCAATAAACACGAAATGTCTCTTCTGTTTTGCAACTTTTTCTTCTTAATGGACATTCAAATATGTTTTTCAAGTCTCGTGAATTATTTTTACGATCATTTATATTTTATTTGTATGACTATACTATCTTTCATTTTTTATGTGTTTTTTTTCTGCTGCTGTTTCTTCTTCGGAAGAGGAAAAGATATTCAATGATGAGAATGTTTGAGAGAAAGAGAAAGAGAAAGAGAAATAGAAAGAGAAAGAAAGAGAGAGAGTTCAATGTCTTTCTTGAAAATCGATCGGGAAAGTGCTTTTTAAGGAAAGCTCGGAACAAGATGGAAGCTCCCTCTTGAGACACTATTACTAAGTGCCCTATAAATAACGACAGGACTCGCGCCTTTTATTTTTGTTTTTTTTTTTGGATACTGTATATAAAATGGGTAGACGTATTGGACTATTGGAAATTTTAAAAAGGGTTAGCCATTTACAAAATATTATATTTTATATGAAATTCATCAAAAAGATATCACATTACCTTAATATTAATAATAATATCTATAACTCGATGTGATCATAACGTATATAAAATATTAATACCATTTATTATTTCATAAGTAAAAAAAAAAAAATGAGAAATTAATTTGAAAAAAGGGACATAATCGGAAATAAAATCTTTCGATTGGTATAACAAACTACCGTTCTCGATATGTTAGGAATGCAAGAAGGAGCAATTATTAGGGCAGCCGGTGTGTTGGGCTTGATCTTCGATGATATCTCAGGTTTAAACCTGCAGGACGTTCTGTAGTAGTTCACGTTGGTCGAGTTCTCTTTCCCCTTCCTTTCTTTCCCTCTCTCTGTTCAAAGGGAACCGTAGAACCGGTTCGATAGTCGCACACACCACAAAGCTATACACGCAACACGCATACACACGCTTAGATATATATATATATATATATAGGTATACACACAGTCGGCTTGTAAAACACAAGTTTCAAGCTGACCTGGCAGAAAAGGGGTAGTAGCTGATAGAGATGGATAGCGAGATCTAGATGAAGATAGACATAGAAAAGACTCTAGAAAGAGAGAGTTTATTCAGTAGTGTAGCATATATCGACCTAGGTAATATCCAAAAGACAAGCTTAATGTCTTACCCCTATGGAAACGCACGCCCCCCATCCATCCTCTTCCATATTCCTTCTTCCCGTATCGGTGGCCCGTAGTTACCCCTTCCGTCGGTTCCTTTTCCTTTGCCACCAGCTCCACTTGGCTATTCATCCTGGTCCGGTGGTCCTAATTACACGTCTCGGGTTACGGATGAGAACGACGGTCTTGGAGTTTGGAGACGTCTTATGCGATGAAAAGGGGTACACTCTTTCCTCTCTCTCTCTCTTTTTCTTTCTGTATTTCATCATCCTTCTTTTTCTTTTTTTTTATTATACACTGGTTACCACTAAAGCCTTTCCCTTTTGTCCAAAACCCAACGTGCTTGGCTATTTTATACACCGAATGTTATTCAGACATGGAGTTACTTACGAGCACTCCCTCCCTTTATCTTTTCTGTGTTTCTCAGTCACACTCTGTGAGAGTATTTCTGAAACCTTCGGGGTCGTGCGTGTTCTTCTTAGTGTGGAGGACGAACTGATGGTAGTAGTTGGTAGTGGTGGTGGTAGCAGTGGTGATGTAGGAAGGAGACGAGAAAAATTGTATTAGCCCTTTGATCCCTCTGCTGCTGCTGCTGCTGCTGCTACTGCTACTGCTACTGCTGATGGTAGAACGACTCGAAAGAAAGCGAATAAAGGACCGGCTCCTGCATAATACGGCTATTTACGCATAAAGAACGAAAACGGCCGTGCTTTTCCTTTACGCCAGTCTTTCTGGCACGCGCGTGTTACGCGATTATATAGGGTGTCCCATTTAGATCGATTCACTTTGTTTTTAATGTCACGTTGAAATTTACGTTTATTATCTTTGTTTCTAAGATATTATTTAAATGATGTAATCATATGTTTTTTTTTATAATTTATTTTTGTTTTACCTAATAATAATTTGAAATATATTTTATTTATTTTGTTGTAGAATATTTGAAATGTAAAAAGGAATGGAGAATAATAAATTGATGTTGAATTTAGTCTAGCCAAGTGAACACTTTAATCCTAGAAATTTCGTATCTTCCAATACGAGACTAGCGTATAAAGGGCTTACACGCATGCAAACTCGTATTCGCGATTTACATCGAAATCGTTTTATCCCCATTTCCAATGTAATTCCTATCTATGTGTACAGCAATAATACATAGTTCGTAAAAGTTTTTTTCGATTCTTCTTTTAATGTGAGATACATTCGTTTATATTTTCTTTTTGTATATTTTTTTGTTCTGATAATCTCTCTTAGAACAGTTAAGGATTGGAGAGAGAGACAACAAAAGTAAAAGAAGATGAAGAAAAAGAAAGGGTAACGTGTTATCGCTATCTACGCTTGAACGACGATGGGTAGTTCCTGTCGTTTAGTATATATCATCACAAACCAGATATCTACCTTCCGTTGATGTCTTTTGCACAGGAAATGCCCTTTGCGCCCCTTTTCTTTTC